TTTTTTTTTTTTTTTAAAAAAATCCTCTAAATCATAGGCAAATTTACACCTTTTTATTAGTATTTTGTAAGTTGAGCTGGAGACGTCCGACGCAAATCTTTTGAGTGTAAAGTTAAAAATTTGTACATTGTTTTCTATATTTTTGCATTCGCCGACGGTGCAAATATATAACGACCTCCCTAATGGATACTACCGATTCTTTCCAACTTTAAGATCCGAATTAACACAAATATTAAGAACATAACAAATACAACGAATATGAAAAATGTTTACCACAAAAAGAAGACAATAAATTTGTATAAGCTGAGGCAAAGAACAAGTATTAGCACTATTTAAAGAAATGGAAAAACCAAAAATTACAAATTTTGTGAACATTCAACATGTGTGCAATTAAATGAATAATATTATGAGCAATGTGAGAGGTCTTAAATACCGAGTAAGCAACTAAAAATTTTTGTAATGCAAAACCATTATCAAGCCAATGACAAGTAGTTCTCATAGAATAGTGATCTAGTCAATGATCGAAATATCACAACAAATGTGTTAAATTTTCAAATGTTTGCATCAAAACTGATTATTAGCCACTATATTTCGAATATCACTTGGACTCATAGCGAGGTTAAAAGCTATTTGAGTAAAATCTTCCTTACATATAATTTCTGAATGTGTTGAGTCAAAGTGGACTCCCACGCTTCGTGATCCTATGTGGCAAAATTTCATGCTTCGTCATTTGGTTTGGCTCTATTTTAATTTACCTGAAATCTAAAACTAATTCGGCTTGAAATTATACATAAATTATAATGAAGATTTATGACCCTTTTTATAAGCATTAATAGTATTTTATTATCATTTCTTATTTTTGACGTGGTTTATAAGGCATAATTTTTTTTTTCCTTCAATCCTTCTTTTTCCCCCAATCTTTTTTTTCTTAAATTATAATACACTTTAATAAGTTAAATTATAAATATATATATTAAAATTTACATTTTGTACTTGTTATCAGTTTTGTACACATAATATTTTAAATTAATCATATTGTGATCAACTTCAGTTTCACATCTATATTGTATAAAAAATAAATAAATAATTCTATTTATCTTTATAAATAAAAATTAGATTATCTGTTGGTTTTAATTGTAAAAAGTAAAATTATAAATAAATATAATTACAAAATAGTTATAATCAAGTTAAGAAAAATATTATAATATAAGATGAGTAAGTTGTATGTGACGAGTGTCATTTTAAATACAAATAATCATATATTTTCTGAAAAGTATTTAAAATTTAAAACAATCTTTTTTTCTTTTCTTTTTTAAATTAGAAGCTACTGGGGATATCTTTTAAAGTTTGATTTAAGAATTCAATCTCCGTAGTAGTATATTAATCTGGGACACACGAGACGTCCATATGTACCTTCGACTTTGGTAATGGATGACCACTCATAAATGCTACATCTTTTCGCTTGGTGGTCGTCCACCATGAGAACTCGACATTTTTTAAACATAAAAAAAAAGTTTAAAGGTGTGAACAATTGTACCAAAATATAAAAAAATGAGAGATGAGACACGAAAATTAGTGAACGGGAGTATCGATGAGATTATAAGAAAAAGAAGACAATAATTTGGTGTAAAAATTAATAGGTGAAAGGAGGTATTTATAGTTTTTTTCAATGAACTGTTAGTTCAAGAGCCGATCTAGCGATGCAAATGGGTCAGATCAAGGGCATTCGTTGGATCTCCAACAGTCGCAATATCCAACGATCAATATAAAAAACCTGAACGTTGAACGACCTAGCCTGTTTATTCCAGGCCCGATCCGGTCAGACGATAAAAATATCAAAAATTTGAAAATTCAAAATTTGAATTTTTTGAGACAATTGTCGGGCCAAACCCATGAACTAGCCCAAATGACCCTGGGCAATGGGCCGGACCAATTCCAAAAAAATGAGAGTGATGAGACTCGAGAATTAGAGAATGAGAATATTGATGAGAATATAAGAAAAAAAAAAGACAGTAGTTTGATCTAAAAATAAAAATACATTAGTGAAGGGAGGTATTTATAGGAAAAAAAATCTATTTTTCTCAATGGACCGTCAGTTCAAGACCCGCGATGCAAATGGGTCGCATCAAGGGCATCCGTTGTATCTCCAACAATTGCAAGATCCAACGGTCAATTTAAAAAATCTGAACGTTGATCGACCCTGGCCTGCCGCCCGACTCGATCAGACGGTAAAAGAATAAAAAATTATGAATTTTTCGAGGCATAACTGCCGGGCCAAGCCAATGAACCAGCCTAGGATAACCCTGGGTAATGGGCCGGGCCAATTCCAAAACCGTCTAACGCAGGCTATTCGCCGGTCCAGTTCCAAACCGTGGTCACACTAGGTGAGCAATCTTGATTTAATCAAATTTCACGAGTTCCAACAATTTAATTGGTTCCGGACAACACACTAAGAATTGAAAACGTGTGAATACATGTGATGCAGCAAAGAGAAATTTCATTGAATAATATCAAAGCAAAGCAAAAAAAAAGGTGTCTATCTACTATGCCAGCGGGAGCTAACTGATAATCCTTCTCCATCAATTTCTGTGAAAACTCTAGTTAGAAGAAAAATACAAAATAAAGTGGATACAACACCAGTACACAGCAACAAATTCTGCACTGCATGCATGGCAAAGAAGTGTTGTGAATCGTCAAATTTTAGCATGGATCCACCTATTCCTGAAATGTGATAACACCAAATAATGTCAAAATTCATATATACTGATAATCGATTGAGCTTCAAAATTGATATTTACCTCCAAAAAAAAAAGAAGAAGAAGAAAGAAAGATTAACAAAATAATGGTTAAACTGTAGTTTAAAGTCACATAAGAGAAGAATGCCAATGAAGGTATGTAAGTTGTGGGGACCACTGTGATGAAATATACTGATTTTGGTTTAAACAGAACAACCAATAGCATCACGACGTTTGTGATGTGCATTACTTTTGTATGTCCAGTACCTTTTGATCAAAGTAAATTAATTTAGAAATATCCCACACAACCTCTATAAAACTTGATTTATTATCTTTCTAAAAGTACATTAATCTTATTTGTTTCGATTTCACAAACGCCACCAATATACACAACCTCTACGCATAATTAGTAAACGGACGTCCGTTGACCAGGTTGTAAGTAGAATTGTACCTACATCAAACAGACCACAAATGCACATTCGTATTTAAGCCATTGTAAATACCTCATCCATTTCTGCAGGCTCATCTCCTTTTTGTTCAGATACATTATCCTTAGGTTCGTCATCTGCTTCTTTTTCATCCGTAACCATACTATCCTGTCGAGCACTTCCACTTTTAGGCAAACTGTCACCATCACTAATATTAAGATCAGCTGGAAGCTGGCCTGACTTGAGTGCCTGCATTAAAAGAAATAGATGAGATATATTAGCTATTCTTTAAATTAGAATAACGGAGCAAATCAAAACCAAGAATCAAGAATGAAACTATGGACTTAGTATATTGTTCTGTTGTGAAACATTCAATACACTGTTGAGTAAGATTGTGAGAAAACCTGTTCAAGCCTCGCCACCTCCTCAAGGGTTTGTGAATTCACAATGGCTGCCTGCATGAAGGTCAAAGATTTAAATGTCATGCAACTTCAAATAAAAGTCAAAGGGTATAGCAGTGGAAAAGAAGAATGAACAAGAATATAAATCAACACTAGAGCGGAGATGAAAATACAAAAGAATGTCAAGTACTTTCATCATTCTGTCAAATCCAATGTATGTAAGAAATTGGAACTCCTAGCCCACCATTCTCCTATTTCATTCTAAGCTTGATGCATGATTCATTTTTGCCTAAAAAATCAAACAATTTGAGGCATCGTCCTACTTTAATTTTTATCTAATTTTTCTACATGGAGTGAAAACCTCTTTCCAGCTCCCTTTCATTTTAAAACTTCAAGTCTTTAAAAACTCTTTGCAGACTCTGACAGATTGATGATTACAACATGCCTCACTAAAGAATTGACAAACTTGACATGTTTTCCAAAAGCAATGTAGGCAAAAGAATTTTAACTGTAATCCTAAAATTGTACGGAAACCAACAAAACAGGAGAGAACAAGCATATACCTTTATAGCTAAAATTTGCTCTGGGGTAGGAGCAACTGGTTTAGGTGCCTGTTCCTCCTTTGCAGGTTCCTGGGTGCTAGGGGTCTCACCAGGTACAAAAGTCTTAGCAGATTCCCTTTTAATTTCTTCTTCAGCCTCTTTGGATGCAAACAAATTCTTGGCTTCAAATCGCTCCTGTTGTCACAAATAGGAACAGCTTTTAAGCCCTGTTAGACTAAACTATTGCACATATACAGTATTATCCCCAAAGTAGCACAAGAAAAAATTACCGAAGACTGAATATATGTTCAGGAACCGAGAACAGAGAAAATTGAACTACTGTACAACAGGACATCTTGGAGAAAAAACCAAATCAATCAATGAATTAACAAGCCGTTAAAATCCCACTAGCCTAGTTAAAATAACCAAATATATTAATAATTCCGGCAAGAAATAAACTACCCTAGTTAAAAGAAGACATGCTAATACCAAAACATCAATTTACGCAATACAGTGTGACTATTAGGAAGTATAGGCGGCAAGAAAAGTTAGAAACTGAAAAATGCATATGATAATTACATCACGTTAGAACAGCACCAAATGCACACCTGAATTTATGGATCCGAAAGCACAGAATGCAATACTAGTTAAATAGCATCACACAGGACAGTGGGACATTCATAGGGATGCATTCACAATGTCATCTTGCAATATTTAAACGACAATGGAAGACATAGAGGAAGAAAAATTGCACACTAACCTTTTGTTTGACTTTCCTGAAATCTAGAACACGAAGAGACTTCAACCTATGGATGACATATAATCGGTAATTCGGTTTTTTAGTAATGCTGTTGTCGAGCAGACTAAGGAACTGCAGCTTCGGTAGAGATGCAAGAGGATCAATTTCAACCAGGTTAGTTAGCCTATTGTTAGTGAGTACCAGAGTGTGCAGTTTTGGCAAAAACTCTGCGCTCATTCCAAGTAAACAACTAGTTAGCTAACCGATGTAACATATGCGATCAACGTATGAAATTCAAACATTTTCAGGCGACTGAAAAGAACAATATTTATACCTCCGAGATTGGGATTGATGCGAGTAATTCTGTTGTTGTTCAGCAACAAAGTTCCTAGGCGATTTAAGAATGGAAAGTTTTCAAGCTTAACAATCTCATTATCGGATAAATCAATGGAATCAAACTGGTCCTGCGTATCGAATTAACCAGAAAAACAGAAGGAACAAATATCAGTCATATATTATGTGAAAACTACAAAACGGAGAAAAAAAAAAGGGTTAAAAAACTGAACCTCAGTAGCACCGACGTTCTCTATAACAGCAATTTTGTTCCCTGTTAACAGTGAAATCAAGGGAACAACAATTATAAACACAAAAATAACAACATTCAAAAAAAACCCATGTAGAAAAGCTAGGGTTTAGTGAAGAAAAACCTCGAAGATCCAGTTCACGCTCGCGAATGGCATTGAAAAAGTGAGGGCTTTTCCAAATCAAATCTACAGTTAATCTCACCATTTTCTGACCTCCGCTTTTCTATTCACTCTAATTAGCCAATTTTCGGCCGTTTGAAAAATCGGCAGCACACAAAACCCCAGAACAGAGGAGTGAGCTTTTAGTTTTACCGTGAGGGATGTGCTGATTAGTGATTATGAAGTATGGACACGACACAAATTCGGGCCTGGGCTCGAATCTGAATTCGGGCCATAACCGGTAACAAACCATTTCTTTTTATTTTTGCTTTGTATCCCTGAGCTGCACGGACATGTAGGGATGGCAATGGACCAGGTCCGGCCGGGTACCTGCGGGCCCAGACCTTGCCCGGCCCAGTGGACCCGACTTGCCCCGCGACTCACGACGGGTCTTCCGGCCCGTGACTTGATCCGCCAACCCACCCCGACTTGTGACACGTGTTTGACCCTTTCCGACCCGATAGCCACCTACATAATTTTTTATCTCTTTTTATTTATCTCAATCATCACCTTAAACATTATACATTGGACAAAAAAAAAAAATAATAATAATAATAAAATTTTACAAGCTTAAATAGCACTCAAGAATAATCTTACAATTCGAAATACAACAATCCAACAAATAATATAATAAGTCTTATAAATTCAAAAATCAAAATACAGAGATTCAAATATTATATATTATATATAATTTATATAGAAATGAGAAGATACAAAAATGAAAAAACTCAAATTTTAATTTCTAATTTCACTTATATATTATATATAATTTATATAAAAATAAATAAATAAGATCGAGGGGGTCTGGTCGGGTCGGATCGGAAAAAAGGACCCGGACATGGCTCGCTTAGCTAACAAGTCGAGCCATGCCCGACCTATTTTAGAAACGGGGCAAGTTTGAGCCGCCCCAAATACTCTGAGTCGGGCCAATTCAGACTTGGTCCAGATCGTTTTGTCATCCCTATAGCTAGTATTACAAACCAAATGATAATGTAAAATAATAATATCTATCACTATTAAAATTGAGGACCATATATTAATTTAAAAATTAAATTATATAAAATAAAAATACATGTCATTATCAAAATTGAGGATTGTACATTAATTTACAATATGATTATCGTGATCATAAAAATTGGGCAGTGTTTTTCAATCCAGACAAGATCGGTGGGTTCATTCGGAGCCGAAACCGGTCTAGGTGAACTAATTTGACCGGGCAACAAAGGATCCGGTCAAACTCATTTGTATTTAAGATAAATATGGGATAACACCAATCATTTATTAAAGTTTATGAATCATAAATAGTTTAAATAATAGCAATCATCTATCTATATATAAAAAGGTTGTTGGAATTAACTTTTTTAGAAACTTTGACCAAAAAAATAAGAAGTTTGACATTCTATTTTTAGAATTATTAAAAGCCTATTTTAATAAAAGATATTAAAATGTGGCGGTTACATTAAGTCATATTTGAATTCAAATTTTGAATAATGAGAGAATATTGGAATTGGATAACTACAAAAAGAGATAAGTCATTAATATATCTTCCCAAATAATTTCAGTCAATGTGCTTAAATTTCCTATCCATATAAGTGATAATGCACGCAACATTCCATCATTAAATTTTCGTCCATACCCAGCATAAGACATAAAAATATCCTTTTTTTCATTCACTTCCTCCATCATCTATTAGAATACAACAAAAAACGTGAATAGAAAACATCAAAAACATAATGGCGCCAACTGTTATAGACTTGATTCCGTCAACAGAACAAATAAACCTTTCTTGCGATTGAGAGCAGACCGAATAGTTGAATCGAATCACCAACGGAAGTGGTGGAACGCATTCCACATACTGTTTCATGATGAACAGGTAAAATTATTCATTTCAAATATCAAATTCATATAATTTTTAGAAAAAATATTACATATTTATAAATTTATATAAATATAATTGTAATAAATATCTTATTTCATATTTATACATTTATATTGTAGGGTTCATTCCTTAGAGGCATAATCCGTTCTAAACATATGAATGCATTTCGAGGTGTACTGAAAGAAGGCGAGGTGTATGCAATCAGTGTCGTCGAATTTAATCATGGAAAGAAAGATATCATAACTAACAAATGGAGACTTGTGCTTCATGGAAGAACTCGTGTTATCAAATATGGCGGCATCTTTCCTCAAAATTGTGATATTTTCCCTCAACAACAACAAGGAGCAAGAGATATTAAGATTATTAGGGATTGATTATTATGAAGTTTATTTTATATTTATTCCATGTCGCTTAATCAGAATTTTATAAGAAATTTTATTGTTATTATATTTGTTATCCTTATAATTAAATATATGTATTTTCATTATTCAATGTTATTTTCATTTTATATTCCAATGTATAATAGTTCAAAATTGGTAAAATAACATTATATTATACTAGATATAAATAAATACAAATTTTAACAATTAATCCAAATATATTATTACATAAATAAATGTTTCACGAAATTAAAATCATCAAATATGCATTTTCTTAATAAATTTCGATTCAATTAATATTATAAGTTTTGAGAGATAGTAACAATAATTAATTAAGGAGAAACATAATTACAATATGTAGATAAGTCACATTAAAGAGATAATGCAAATTAAAAAATTAAAGAGATAATTAAAATATATGGATAAATCAAATTCAAGAGATAATGCATGTTTTCACTTATTGGGAATCCTATTTGAAAAAAAAAAAAATCATTAATTACAATTGGTGATCCTATTTTTCGAAAATAAAATTAATTGAAGCAAGTACATTTAATAGTTTATATCTATATATATTTGTTTGATAATAATATTTATATTCATTAGAGATAATTAATAACTATATACATATAATTATAAGAGAACTATTAATGGTTTAGAGATAATTATTAAAGGTCTAGAGAAGTGAAGATTTAAATTTAAGGGACAAACGTTTTTTTTATGAGAATCCTACTTTAAAAGAAAAGAATTAATTAATTAATTAATTAATAGGATCCTATATTTCGAAATTAATTTTAATAGTTTAGAGATAACTATTAATGGTTTAGAGATAACAATCAAAGATAACTATTAATAGTTTAGAGATAATAATTAGAGATAATTATTAATGGTTTAGAAATAAGTGAGACTTTAAAAAGACACATTAAGGAAATAATGCAAATTAAAAAATTAAAGAGATAATTACAATATGTGGATAAACCAAAGTAAAGAGATAATGCAAGTTTTCAATTATTGGGAATCTTATTTGAAAAAAAAAAGCATTAATTATTCTTGGTCATCCTATTTATCGAAGTAATTGAAAGAAGTACATTTAATAGTTTATATCCATAAATATTTGTTTGATTAATATTTATAAGAGAACTATTAATGGTTTAGAGATAATTATTAAAGGTCTAGAGAAGTGAAGATTTAAATTTTAAGGTCTAGAGAAGTGAAGATTTTAAAAGAAAAGAATTAATTAATAATGGAATAGGATCCTATATTTCGAAATTACTTTTAATAGTTAAGAGATAACTATTAATAGTTTAGAGATAACCATCAAAGATAACTATTAATAGTTTAGATAATAATTAGAGATAATTATTAATGGTACATAGATAATTATTAATGGTTTAGAGATAAGTGAGACATTAAAATCACATGGGTCAATTCTTTATCATCGTAAACTCAAACTGAAGTGATAATTTACGTAAAAGATAAAGTTGAACTATTATTTATTGATATCCCATTCTATAACAACGCACTAGTTTTTGGCCCGTGCATTTGCACGGAAAGTTATATGATAGAAGAGAATAAAGTAAAAAAAAAAACAAATATAAAAATAATAACATAATCATTGAAACAAAATAAGAAATAATATCTAAATATTATTAAATATTTCTTTATATACAACGTTCGTGGTTTTTCTATCGTCACAATCTCCATCAACACAAATTATTATCTCCAAACTCCTCCGACTGATGACTCTAGATCGTGCCACATACAATTTTGGTCAACAAATCTCTTGTCAACACCTTTTGAAGATGGTAGTTTGCACATTTTGGTACATGACTATTCTAACGATTATATCTTCAAAATAATAATAATAACAACAATAATAATAAAAAAATAATTGATTGATATAATTAAAACAACAAAGGAAAATGTAATAGCTATTTATAAAGACAAAAAATTAAACAGTACCTATAAGCATAGTTGGGTTAACAAACTTGGGACTATTGTACCCTCACTTTGGCGTGTACCATGTCCCGAGTTCGAGTCACTCGGAGGGGAATTGGGGAACCAGTTTAGATCCTCTTTTTTAAGAAGAAAAAAACAAACTTGGGACTATTTAAATCCTTGAAATTTTTGAACTTGTACATGGAAGAATTTATAAACACCGCCAGTTTTGTTTTTCCATAAAATAAGAATATATTGAAATTCATCCATGTTTTGAAGGAGTTAGTATTGGGATTATAAACAAATTTATCTGACCATCATAATTTAGCTAAGTATTGATTTATTTTAATTAATATAAATAATTAGAATTATAATGTGTCTGATCTTTGGGATTAATTTTTGCAAAATAAATATGAATAAACAACTGTTATAAGTCATTCTTTTGCTGATGGGGATTTTCCAATTACGGGGAATAATTATCATAATTATTTTATTAATAATTATAATAAGCAATTTGGAAGTGACATAATGTGAAGGAAATGATAATAATATAAGTCATTCTAGTGCTCAAGAAAAATACTTAGAAAAGATAATAAATATAAAAAAATACATAACCATAATTCATTTCATGAGAAAAAATATGAATTAAGAAAATGATTTTAAATTTTATTAAACATATTGTTTGTATACAATATTTATGGTTTTTCTATCGTCAGAATCACCATCACCACATATCATTATTTTCAAACACTTCCCATTAGTAACTCCAGAAAAGCAACGTCCAATTGTTTATTACTGAAAACAGGGTCATTCAAGACTAAGCGAACGTGTGAGAGAGATTGATCTTGACTC